AGCAGGGTGGCTCATCGTCGCTAGCCTTGCCTTTTGTGTGATGGGGGTCCTGTGACCTTAATGATTATTAAAGGAACCTATTTTGAGCTGGCTCAAGTTTCTAGAGAATGTGAGTTATTGAGAATTAAAGACAAACAAGAGTCTGTGCAATCATACATGTTTTATTATGGAAAACTCCAAGGAAGCAATTATTATCACCTGAAAGTCTACTGAAAACTCCTAACTAAATGGCCCTTGATGAGAACTGATTTTGAATTTAAGGATAAACTTCCCAGGTAATGTCTTTCCTACCTGTTGGCTTGAAGTGCATATCTGCTTTCACTACCAGGCCCCTCCACTTCCTCACCCTTCTTACAGAGTTTCCCAGCAAAACATTAAATAGCGCATACATAGCCTTTGGGGAAATGAATAAGGTTATTTAATCAAATAGTTCTCAAAACTCCTTATGGGGCATCAACAGCTCTAAGCAGAAGTTGTAACTTACAATAAATTCAGATTCATAACAATAACAATGGGAGGACCCGCAAGACAAAAATCACTTTTTTATCAGCTGGGTGAAAAGAGTTTCTTAGTCTGAAACACCGAACTCTGCCGGCTGGTGTTGGCACACACTTTTAATCCCTCTGCCCTTGGGAGGCAGAGGTAAGGGTGATACTAAGAAAGATTCTCTTAAAGCTCTCATAGACGAGAGCATCAGAATAAAAGTGTGATGGGGAATAGGATGCTTGGGTACCAGCAGTAAGCAAATAGAGCAGAACTGCACAGAGACATACAGGGGCTACTGTAGGATGCCACCCTCAAGGAATGAGTAGTGTTGGCAGCTGCCCTCCCATAGCTGAGTCTCTTCCCCAGGATTCCCCTCCTTTAAACAAACCTGTTCCCCCAAGTGATGCCCCTTCCTCAGGAGGGTGATAGAGGACAGCAGTATGTAATGACTGTTCATATAGGACGCATACAGCCTGTCTTCTGTCTGAACTCCACATACTGCCCAGTGCTATTGCAGTGCAAACTCTCCGCGTGATACACTGAGGTTCCTCTTGTAACCAGCCCATCTCTCCTGTGCCTAATACTGCTTCCCTCACTCCTTTACATATGTGTTCCCCAAACCAATTTCCCTACTTCCTGGGGACTCAAACTGTTCTAGTAGCTATCTGAGGAAAATGTCTAGAGCATGGAGCGCCACTGAACTGCAGAAATTTTCTGCAACGATGGTATGATCACTGGTCACATTAGATCATTGTCCTATCTAAATAGAAGCCACTGACCCCACATGTGACTACTGCGTGCTTGAAGTGTGGCTGCTGTAGCTGAGGAACAAAGAAAAATTCTTTAAATTTGTATTTACACAGCCAAATCTGGGTAGTGGCCACCCTGCTAAGGAGGGAAAATAATGGAATGTTTGAGCATGCATGTCAGCTTTTGTGTCCAGTTATGATCATGAAAAAGAAGTCAGACAAAACTGGGAAGGAAAAGAGGTGGTAGGCACAAAGGAACACAAATGCCTAGGTTTGAAGACAGGTAGTAACAGGCATAATTCTAACTACTGAGCCTCTGTGGTGAGTAATATAATCCCATTCATCAACTGATGAGAACATGGCTCATAAATATGAGTACAGCTCATACATGTGAGTATAAATATGGCTCATATATGTAAGAAATCTGTCATATATATAAGAAAATTGAAATCTAAAACTGACATTCAAGCTTATGCATTTTGTCATGTGTTCCAGATGGGATCTCTGAGAGTAAGAGCGTGAAACCAAGGCAACCCTGAGCGTCTGATATCTCCACATAGCCTTGTTCTCAGACTCTCTCATCTCTTTATGTGCATAACTAGGTAAGAGGGGTGTAATAGGAACCATATTCAAGTAGAATGTTTCAGACACCATGCCAATAGCTACCATGGGCAAAGAATTCTCACGTTGCAGATGCTGAGAAGAAGGCACAATCGTAAATGGCGAGAAATGTGTTGGGGAGTGAGTGCGACCTTCCTGCTAACTGTGGAGCTCAAAGATCCTGCAGGTATGTATAAACATAGTAAGACTGTGCTTCTAAATGCCCCACCTCTCCTTACCCTGGAGAACTATCTGCCCCTTGATGCACAAGCGACCCGATGCGGGAGCAATAGGCGTTCACAGAAGCAGCTCCAGGGTACACAATTTTCATTCCATGCTACAGTAATAGCGTCCCCTGACACTGCATTGTTTGCCACTGTTTGAACCCATCCTTGCGTCTGATTTTCTTAAGAAGCACTCTGGTTCCTCTTTGACTTTGTAAAAGGTAGGATAAGGAAGACTCCTGGGCATGTCTCAGAAAATTAGCAGCACAGAAGATGTGATAGAATCCGAAAGGTCCTTTTTGTGTAACCCCAAAGAAAAAAGTGGGCATCGGAGTTTTCAGAGCTTTTCTTTTCCCCAGGAAATCATCTATTCCGAGCATCACAGCCCTGAGCTCCTCTTGCAGGTGATATTGAGCCATCTATACTAATTGCAGTCAGTACACGCTAAAGAGTGCACACCACCAAGTAGAGACTTGGCAACAAACTGTTGCTACACATGATGGCTGCTATAGAAAGGTGAAGGGCTGCTGCAGAAATGATCCATTTTTCTTCTCTTGTAGTTCTGTGTTCAAAACTGTACTCAGAGTTTAGATAGGGGAGCCATTAAACCATGGCTTAGTCTACATGTTTGACCCATAGCCGGCTTGAGATGTTCCCATCAGTCAACTTCACTGCAGGATGTCAGTTCTTACTAAGGACTAGGCTTGACTGATGAATGCTTTGCCCTGACTTAATCTAAGCCATCTGTCAAAGGAAGGGAAAGCAGGAGTTGTAGGCTTCAGGGTTCCATGTCAGGTACAAAAGAATGCTAGAAACCTGTAACCACAAATCTTCTAAGGAAAGAAAAAGGATTCTCCAAGCAGCGCTGCAAAGTTCCTAAGGCCATTAGTCATGAACTTAGAGAATCCTGAAACAGTCCTTATTGTGTATAAGGTAAAGACTGAATTTCCCAGGTCACCCTCATCGGTGGTCCATGAGTAAATGTGTTACTGCATCCTCAGTTTCTCGAATGCCTGGTTCTAGCAGGTGTTCGTTATTAACTGCCCCCGTCATTGACGAGTGTTCAATCGGGTGCAAGCAACATGTATGAAGTCCTTATGTATATGACATCATCCTAAGGACTGAAAATAAGGTAGGACATGCTGCTCCATCACTGTCCATCACCATACCAACAAAGGATGTTCAAGGTTACTCGGACTGAATCACTGGCTGAGTGGTCCACAGGACCAGGCTCAGAACTACACATCTGTTTAAACAGTAGTCTCCAGTCAACTCGATCCAAGGAAAGAAACTTCACTGAGATACATATGTTCCTCAGTCAAAAACAACATGAGTTGAAAGTGCATTGACAGCAGTTAACTTCTCAAGCAGCCCCGCTTAGCCACACAGCAATGGTGTGTACTCAGCAGAGTACCAATTGTTTACCCTGCGACTGTGGGCCTAAATGGCAGCCGAGGGTTGCTGCTCCTGCCTAGTATCACAGGACAGACTATTACTGCAAGTTACTGGCCTATGTGAGTAAAACTCACCTTTTAAAATGTGATTTCTGCTGGATGGTTATTACTTTTGACTTCTTTAATAAAGTCAAAAACCACTCAAAGTCAGGAAACACCCCCCAGATAGCTGAAGGATACTAATTATGCATGCCACTTAAATTTCATAACCACCCAAGCGTGATGAGCTGTCTTAATACGCCTGTGTGGCTGCATTTACCCCTCTCCCTATTCTCTTCACGTCAGGGAATTCTGAGATGAGGACTTGCGCTGCATAAGACACAGACACACAGGGCCGGGTGGGATTTGAACCATGTCCGTTATTAACATCACACTCCCTGCGGCTGGTCCTACTCACTGAACAAGGGCAAAACGGATCCGCCTTCGTGTTAACACAACCTTGCTGCATCTGCCTCACTCTGCCCTAGAATCATCCTTCTCCATTACAACAAAGGTGCATGAGAACACTTTCGCTTCTGTGCCTCCCAACTTTGAGAGTCTGCCTGTGCATTCATATCATGGAGGTTACAAGGGACTTCTGCGTGTCCCCCCCCCCCCGTCCCTGGCAATTTTGTCTATAAATCATGCTATTTTTATATGTTTGCCCCTAATTGTCAAAGGATACTGTCCTTGTCACTGGAAAATAAGGATGAATGGTCATACAGCAGCACCACGCAGCCAATCACAAATGCTCAGGGAAACAAAACCTAGCAGCAAGATGGATGTCCTGGAACCAAGCGGAACAAAGAGAGGTGGCAGTGGGCACGGATCAATGATTGCTTCAGCTAGCAGCCGGGGCCTGTGTGTATAAATGCTCAGCAGGCTTCAGAGGGAGAACTGGAAATAAGTTTATACCTGGGGCGAAACAGACTGTCAGACTCAACTCAAGGCCCAGCAGAAGAACGGGGGAAGCAAGGTGGAAGTGATTGGCAGGGCCTGCCTGCTACTGGCTGCATCCCACCCAGCCTGTCGATGCTTCGGGAGAGACACAGGCCTTCTGAGCACAACCAGCGAGGCTACAAGGTCTTTCTTGTTGCTCTCTCCACGTGCCTCCCATGTACCAGCCTGACTAAGGCGATCATGTATCAAGCAGATGTGCCAAGACTCAGAGAGGTCAGGGATCCCTGTGACCCACAAAGAAGCTGCTGCGTGTTCTTTTGTAATTAGTTCACATGACGGAGAGGTGAATAGTTCCCCATCCTGCCCCTGGCTGTTAGCTGCCAACATTTAGCTTGTTTTGAAGCTTGAGCAACTTTGATGTTTCCTGAACACAGACAGGCGCTTCTGTAAAAAGTACTGAAGTGTAGACCAGCTATCACTTTCCCTGGGGCAGGCTGGATATGCTCCAAGCTGGGACATGACATGCGCGTGCATACGCATACACTCACACACATACACACACACACATGAGAGAGAAAGAGAGAGAGAGAGAGAGAGAGAGAGAGAGAGAGAGAGAGAGAGAGAGAGAGAGAGAGAGAGAAATTATTCAGGCAGCAAGTAATCATCATCTTACCAAGACACAATCTTAAAATTGTTATGTGTGAGCAGGGAGGGAAACTGCTTCATCAAAGAGGTGTTTTCTAGAGACATGTGTGTCTGCAGACATTCTCAGGCCAGTGTCTGTGGGTTGCTAGCCATATCTAAGGACTGCAGCAAACTGGACTTTTAAGTGAGACAGCCAGGAACTTCCTCCAATGAAGGCAAAGGAATTGGTGCAAATTCAGGGACAGTGCAAAGAGAAAAAATAGGGACTGGGGAAAAACTTAATTTGAGGGAAAACTGTCTTGTCTGAGTTAGAATTATTTTAGTTGGACTGGATGAAAAGAGAGGCAGCCATCAGGGAAGGCTTTAGGCAAGACAGTGTCAATACAAAGAATTGTACCATTTCAGCATTTCCCCTTACTTCTTCCTATGATGATCTCTGGTTCATTTATTCATTTATTCTTCCCACAGGAATTTATTTTCATTGTGTTAGGCCCTTAGGATATAGAAATATATAAGACATTTTCATTTGGACATTTCAATACAGCATTTCATTTCCTCTTATTCCTAATCTGTTAAACATATAATACTGTTGGATTTTTAATGAAAGAGTATATGTATTAGAGGGAGAAATTCATATCTTTAGATAGGAAGTATGACTTACTCAAGTTATATGGATGCCTTCCTAACAAAGTATATCATCAGGACACCGCATCAGGACATGTGGTGAAGAACGGCCCCAAATCTCGGGGACTTAAGAGACTAATATTTACTTCTTGGTTACTTTAGTTGTCCACTGTGGCTCAGTAAAGGCCTCTACAAATAAAGGCTACTTGGCAACCCAGACTGATGGAGCAGGATGATTGACAGAAAGACAACATGTTCTCTCTGGCCTAGTATTGCCTTTGGTACTATCCCAACAGAGTGGCAACCTGACTGTGCTCACACCTCATTGGGCAGGACTAATCACATGGTCCCACCCAGCTAGGAAGTAACAACCCTCTCAGGAGCTCAGTGAACTGAAATAGGTTCTGACGTCTGGGGACTAGTTAGTCCCATGTAGAGAGGGAAGGACTTAGGAACCTGAAGAAAAGAAACTAAGAGCAAACTAACATTGGTGAATTACATCCTGGGCTGCACTTCTCTTGTGCAAACACCAATTTACACCTACCCCTAGTTCAGATTGAAAGTTCCTAGCTCGGAGCCTGGCATGGGAGAGGTGCTCAATTCATGCTTGTAAATATGAAAACCAAGATTACGGTCTGGGTCAAGTATAATAAAACAGATACACGGATATTGTAAAACTTCACTGCCAGGCCCGAGCAGTTCTTACTCAAAGATTTTTCTAAGTTCCCTTAGTCCACATCCTGTCACACAGAACCGACCCTTCCTCCCTCTTGCTCCAAACATAGGTTGTAAAGCCAATTCCCTAGCACTGCGATGCCTCTTCTCTTGCATGTGTTTGTCACGTTCATCCACTACTGGGTGCTATGGGAGCTTATTTTTCTCGGTACCAAAACAGAAGCCAGAACCCAAGACATGGTAGGTGTTCAGTAACTATCCATTGGGTAAACAAATCAATCTGAATTTAAACACGTCGATAGAAGGGTAGTTGAACAGCAGCAGAAGTGTGGGAAACCTAGGTGAGTTACACATTATCTACTGGTGCCCAAACATTAAGATTAGACACGCTGGTTCAGCCCCGGCATCCATTAGGGAGAAATAAATGCTGCAAGTTATCCTGGTCTGGTTTGAAATGGGTTTTACTTATCCTTTACTGGCCTCTGTGTTATGTATAACACGTTGTTTTCTTCCCTCTTCTGTTCTCTTAGATGCTGCACTTCTGAGAGAAGTCAGACAGTGCTAACTGCGCTATCCCATGGCGGCTAACACCCTCCTTGCATTAACTGTAGCGCTGTGGCATCATAAAATGATTTCCTGCCCCCGTTACACCATCCGGAAAGACCACTTTAGTGTTCCCCACCCATAAACAATGACTTGTTGTCATTACCAATCAGAGAAAGAGGGGGCAACGCGTGTATTGGTGTTCACAGCTCTTTCAGATTTGATATTACAGAATGGCTGAGATACTGTGCAGTCTCCTCTCTCTCTCTCTCCCAGCTTCTCTGGCCTCAGTAACTGCTCGAAACAGCGGGGCTTCCGGCAAGTATCCAGGCTTATGACTGCAGATAGCCGCACAGAATGTCAATTTCCAGACATTCAAGGTGAGCAGGCTGTTCTAATTTTCAGGAATTATGCGTCCTCTTAGGAGACCTGGCCCTGTGGAGGCAGAAGCAGTCTGTTACTGTCAGCACAATTGCTCAACTGATGCCCTGCAAACTACAGTTTGCCACGGCATTAATGCATTGCTTACACCAAAATGCAGTTAGCAATCCTGGAACTACGTCTGAGGTTTTGGTGAGAAGTCTAGGTAGAGACTTCCCTGTGAAGGCCATGATCACTGGGACCCTGGTGGCGAAGTCTATGAAGAAGCAGACATTACTTACGTGTTTACAATAGCTGTGCTTCTTATTGTAATGAGGTCCCTGACAACTTGAAGGATTTTTGCATTGCTGTACTTTAGTGGAACAAGGAGGATGCCAGCGACAACTTTCAGTGTCTTTCCTAATGACCCATAAACAATGACTTCCTGCCCATGAGCCTCATGAGTGCGTGACTCACTTTGAAACTGACACTCTCAATTCTCTGCAAATGCTAGCCACCGAATAGCCCATGGCATGCTAAATCTGTCGTGAGTCCTGCGCCATGTCAACAGTTAATATTTACTTTTCAGTCATGCTGCCGAGATTCAAATCTCTGTTCCTTCTGTTTCTAATCCTAAGACTTCGAACACATTACTCTTTGGGAGCATCAGTGTGTTCACCTTTAAAATAGGGATAAATAATAGCAATTGCACAGAGTAGAAGTTAAATGAGGAAGTCAGTGCATAGTACTAGACACAGCAAGCTATATTGTGTTTCATCATCTCCTTCCTAGGGTTTCACAAGACAGGAGATGATTAAAAGTAGACGTTCCAGGGAGAGAGAGTTTAGGAGAGAGCCAGGTACGAACCACTGCCCTAGAAGAGGGCATGACTCCAGCAAATACTTGGGGAGAAGCTGATGTATATGAGACATTCTGTGCCAAGGAGAAAAGCTGTCTGATAATGGAGAAAAGGCAACTATTCAGTGAGAGCCAAAGTGAGCATCCTGCATCCTCCGCCACAGGATACTTAGTGCAGCCTAGGCAACTCTTCTAGGGAGACTTTTAATCAGATTTCAAGGCTAAATAATCAGCTCGCACCTACACAAATCAACCCAGTGTGGGCTATTTCATTATGAGAGGTACCTGTGTTAATAAAGAAGAATAAAGGTAAGAGGATGGGGAACAGCAGGAAAATTATATAATTGCAGATTCTGATGTACCTGAAGGCTTCACCTGAAGAAATATACATCATGATTAAGGCCTCTGGGTTCCATTTAAGAAAATTCTGAAGCAGCTCAATTGCCCTGCAACCTCCAGCATTCTTAGAGTGCTTCTTTTTGAGGTCACCATTATTATTTATTTATCTTTCAACTTCTGTAACTTTATTTAAGCACAAGTAAAATATGCTGCAAGACATCTACTTGTTTCGGTTTTTTGTTTAATTGTTTTTTTTTTTTTTTTTTTTTTTTTTTACTGTGCAGCCAGTGTTGGGACTAGTGACTCTGGCTTTACGATTCTTGGGGAAAACGTTGTGAACAACCTCCGCACAGTATGATTTGTCGAACAGCAGAAGCACGTCCTGTTCCTTAACCTTGTGGACAGGACCTTCCAGAAGCTGCTAGGCAGTGTCTGATTTGTTTTCTTGTTGTTTCCATAACTGATGTGGAGTGTCAGGACCTGGCCCTTGAATCTTCTCTGAAACCTACAGTCAATACCTCAGGGTTTCCATACACCTCACCTGATTTTGACTTACTGGTTAATCTGTGCTGGATGAACTTCTTGGTCTTCTGTTTGACTATCTTCAGCTTCCCCACAGGCCAGGGAGCAGCCATGATGATGAGAAAGAGATAGCAACCATGTCTCACCCAAGAAGCAGCTCATTGCTGTTATGACATTACTAAAAAGTGTAAGAGTTATTGTGAGCTCTTCCATATCCCATTACGCAAAGAGAAAGGACCTCCCTGCCTTGAATTTCCTTTTCCATGTCCCTTTGACTCCTGAAAGAGGCACTACAGAAAGGGGGTGGGCGGTATGCTGGGCAGCCTTGTAAATAAGGCAGGCTGTGTATTCCACAGAGCTGCAAGCAAGCCAACCCCTTTTCATCTGACGAGTTCCCAACAACCTCCCATGAGGACACAGGAACCGGGGAATGAGCAGCTGCTAGGCTGAGGAGGTGGCAAGGCAAGCTGACAGCCCGGGCAGAGCATGCGGTTGGTGGGTGAGGATGTACCAGGGGAAGAAGAAGCCTCAGAAGCCACATTCGGAGAAGACAGCCCACCCCAATGAGCACGATACATAGACTCCCAGATGTCTCCTTTGTGCTATCCATCTGCAGCCATGGTTTCACAGATGCAAATACATATGAATCACCTGGAAATCTTGTAAGAACACCAATCCTGCTACAACAGGCTTAGGGTAGAGCCAGCGCCTGTACTTTGCAGGGACTCCCACGTGATGATGAAACACTTAGATTCTCCAGACCACAGTCTAGCAGCAATGTACTGCCCAAATCCACCCTTGAGTTGCTTGCTTCTGCAAATAAGATGTAATTGGAATACAGTCACTCCAAATAGTGCAATACACACACACACACAAAACACACACACGCACCATACATAAATACCTATGGCTGCTTTTGCACTATGACCGCCTAATAAGAGGTTGGTGACACTGACCTTATTTCCCACAAAGCCTAAAAGATCACTATCATCTGTCCCCTCACAGGAAAATGTTCCAACCCCTGTCATGAAGAATGCTTAGTATTGAAGCTAACAAAAAAGAAGAAGAAATGATGTTCTATTGAGCTGAAGGAATGTTGTTGTGAATTTCAGTGCATAAGAAGAAAACTCTTGCTTTAGCAACAACAAAAGAACCTTTTAGAGAAACATAAAGGAAAATCATCATCTGTCTATATATGGCTTAAAAGAGAGACATTTCAGAATTCCATAGTCCTAAAGGGGGTGCCAGCTTCCTAGAAGTATTCTAGAAGATTGAAAAGAACTACAAAAATTTTGTATGTTACTCAATGTTGATCATAAGCTATGCTCAGAACCACAAAAGTCCATGAAGTGTCTTATGCCGGTTTCAAACAAAATGTTTCTTCTCTTCCCCTTCTTTCTATAGTTCCTTTAGCCGCTAAGAGGGTTTTCTTCTCAAGGAACCTATAACAACAATAATTTAACTTTTCATGGCACAGCTCCTTCTCGAAATGATTTTTCATATTCAACATATGATAGGATTTTTCACATTGACCTCTTAATATAAAGAATCCAATCCAATCTGAAGCAAAGCATTATGATTCAGTGCACAGACAAGATCTGTAAGAGTTACCCTATAGCAAACTATGATGACGAGGGAATTCCCTGTATTTAAACTATTTGAGTTGGAGAAATCGCTTAAACAAAACTGAAAGAGCCCCTTACATTATGGTTTCTTAGGTTGTGAACCAGATATGATCAATATGAGTGTCATGAAGATGGGAAAACCGAGTAAGAGAACTTCCCATCTGCCTCTGAGTCTGTATAAAATGGGGCAATTTTAGGGAAATCAGTCTATGGGGGACTGGTTCCTATAAGCCACTAGGGACATTTGCCTGTGGTTCCCATGAATATCATCGAGAAAAGAACAACAGAGGAAAGACAGACATTGCTAAGAGATAGGACCATGTTCACAGGAGAACTGAGGTTGACTGCACAGGGACCTCAAGATGGCTAAGAGGCCTCGGTGGCTTTGCTGGACCCCACAGTGAGACCTGGTCTCTACAATGGAGGTAAGATCTAAATGACTTAGACTAGCATGTAAATTAGGTTCAGAAAGTGCTAAAGCAATCGAGAATGGATGAAATGGATAAAGACATGACTAGGTGATAGAATATTTGCCTACTAGCATGTACAAAGCCCTGAGTTCAACTCTCAGTGTCAACAGAAGAGAAGGAAGTAAGAAGAGGAGTGGATAGGAAAAGGATGGGACCAGAGGATGTGAAATCAGACAAAGGAATCTATCCAGACTTCTTAAGTTACATGTGGCAAGATTTATATAGAATCAGAGAGCTCTCAGAGAAAAGAGCAACAGATCAAACAATGTGCTAATGAGCTTCTAAAAAGCCTAGTAACAAAAGACATGAATCAGTACAGATGGAAATTTTTAAACTTGTCCCAGGACTGGATAGTTGTCTCCCAAGAGAATGTGCTTTTTATTTCTCTCCTGCAAGGAGTATACAGGGCAGAGAGAATGTTCACCAGGTCTAGAACCCTTTCAAAAGCTAAGTTGTGGTCAATGTGAAGAAAGGATCACAGTGATGGTCCAGCGTCTATCAGAACCGGGGCACTTGCTCCAGTGACAGGCACAGCAGGCTAGAATATAGCCTTGCTTGCCCTTGGGCCTGAGTCAGGCAGAGCAGTGAAAGCCACCCATAACTGAGACCATTAGAGCTGGAAAGACACACAGTAACTCTGCAGTGACAGCAACACCCAGGATGAGGAGGCCAGGTGGCTCATAGAAGATGACAGTGCACTGTGGAGAACTGGCCAAGGTAGTGTCCCCAGTCTGTTCCATTATACCCTGTTGAAATAGGAGCAGCGGGGCTGCGTCCCCAGCACCCCAGCCGCCTGCTAGCTTATGCCCGAAATAACAACACACAAACTGTATTCATTTAAACACCGCTTGGCCCATGAACTCTAGCCCTTACAGGCTAATTCTCTCACCTGGACTAGCCCATTTCTAGTAATGTGTGTAAGCACCCCAAGGTGCGCTTACCGGGAAGATTCTAGCCTACGTCCATCCTGGGTCGGAGCTGCCTGGGAGAGCTGAGCCTGGCGTCTCTGCTCCAGAGAGCAGAGCTGTCGAGTCTATCCGGGAGAGCTGAACATGGCGTCTCTGCTCCAGAGAGCAGAGCTATCGGGTCTCTCCGGGAGCCGAGCAGAGTCTGACCTCACTTCCTCTTCCGCCCAGCATCCTATTCTGTTTACTCCTCCCACCTATGTTCTAACCAATAAAATGGGCCAAGCCAGTTTTTTTACTAGCCAATGACCTTCATCTATCAATACCCAAGGGTTACAACACTTTTGAGGAAACAAATGATAACAGGTGAAATGATCTTTGCATGCTGTTTTGACTTGCTATTTCTTTTCATCCTTCCAGCCACACACGAACCGTTAGGGCTCGCACTGAGAGCAATAGACCTTCAGAGATATCGCACCCTCTGTAAGACGAGAAGATGGCGAAAATAGCAAATGAAGAGTTCAAACAAACACATCTTGCACTGGGCGAAAGGGGCACCCCCACAAGCCAGAAGACTCTTGGGAGAAAATTCCAAAGCCAGAGCCAAGCTATCTTCCTATGAACTGTTAGCTAGGCAGCAGTCTATTGTCACTATTGTTATTTGCATGCCAAAACTAGACGATAGGTGCCTATCGCCATACATTTCATAAGTTGTGGCTGTAGAACATGAAGAAATAAGAAAGCAAGAAGCTTTCTCTCCGCTGGCTGTCAGAGAGGTCCTGTGTAAGCTTTCTAGGGGAGAATTGTTAGCAACAGTTGTGCTCAGTCGTGGTCCCTGTATGCTATACTACAAACATCCCTGGCAAAACTTACTAAATGGAGAAATAGTGGCACGATTGTTATGGGTACAACCAAGGAAGAATTCACATCTGATACTGTACGCCAAGGCTATAGATGTCACAGGCTCCAGTGACGAAGCAACTACTATTGATCTTTTGAAATTGATGTGATGTGTCTGTCGATTTCCCTTCTAAATATCTGTGTTTAAACCCATAAATTAATGGTGCTGTCAGCCTTGGTCAGAATGAGAGACTTCTCACTTGCAATAGGCAAATAGAGACAAATAACTGATCAAGCCCTTGAGAATAATGGCTGATGCTCTGGCTTAGTTGCCCGCTCTGCATCAGATGGATAAAGATAATCAGATAGCAACGCTAACCCTCTCCAGGGCTCAGGGAATATAAGGAAAGAAGGGACAGAAAAAATAGAATAGTCAGAGGAAGGAGTAAAGTTTTGTGCAGCTATTTCCTTCCAATTAAAGCATTCCTTCTGGGAGGCAGGAGAGGACCTCCTGAGACTCCGGAAGTAAGTAAAACCTCAAGGCTCAGAAAGTTCTTGAAAAAGAAGAGTCACAAATATTCTTCCCGGTGTTGAAGAAGCAGCCTACAATTGCTAGGGAGAGCGAGTGTGACCAGCAAGCTGCTTGTAAGTAGAGTACGGAATGCAGAGGTACAGCTCTTTCTAGCTGTCACTCGTGTGGGGGTGGGGCTGTCAGTGATGCAGCTGCCTTCGAATCACCTGCCATCCTATCAGTAACCCTCATGTACTCTAAGGTCCACTAAGCCAGGCTTGGGTGGAACTGACCCTTGGTCTGTTATTGATCCTCCGTCTGGAGTAAGAATCATTTGTTCACATTTTCTCAAGAAAAGTCACACAGCACCAATAGACAGATAGGACATGTTAGAATCTAACTTGGTATAATTCGAATCTATCAAACCTTTCGAGCTGATGAACAAAAGAATAAAGTGTTTTGGAAATGATGAGCCCCTGTATTAAAGAAGCTTCCCTCATTGAAGCTGAACTCACAGAGGTGCTGCAACAGGAAATGTGTTGTGTTAACTAAAGTCAGACTAGGTATCTTCTGCCAAGGCTGCACATCCCTGAGTAGCTCGTGCAGCACCAGAACCTACATCTCCTATTGCTCCTCGGCAAACCTCCTCCTCCTCTCATGAGCAGCGATGCCATCAGATGTAAATGAGATGGTGGTACTTCAAGGATGCTGTATTGTATTCCTGCAGTAGGATGCCATTCAGTATAGACAGTAATACATAAATACCTGGGCTGTTCAGTTCAACCCTGTAAGGGGCCTGCTAAGCCTGAACTAAACAACTGGGAAAGTCCTTCTTTCTCTCAGTCATTAAAATCCCATTCTCAACGGGAATGGCGCTGTGTGTATCCCGGAGCCTCATGCGTTTAAGGCCGGCAAGATCCTGACTCAAAAACAAAACAAAACAAAATAAAACAAGCTAGCCTCCTTCAACTGCTTTCCCAGTCAGAATTATTCTTGGTTCTTATTTAAGATACCACCCGAGCAGCATATTTTATGCTTAGGCCTATTTCATTGCTACTTTAAAAAATATTCAGATACCATCAAACAAAGCTTCCTATGTCGTTGCAACTTAGCTGCGGAATATGTATGAGGAAGCTGAGTGTATATGAAACAAGATAGAGAGAAACCCCAGGGAATGTTGTAGGCTTTCATTTTACGGCATATTCAAGCACTTTGTAATACCATGGAATCAGCCACATGTTTTCTTTATGGAGTGACCTATGACCCCGACGCTCTTCCTAACGTAATTCAAAAAAGCACTTACCGCGCATCTCAGCTCGGCACCCTGCTTCCCACCAGGTATGTAAGCAAAAGAAAAGCATTCCATAATGAGCTTGGCACTGCAGTCTCCAGGGGTTCTATTCTCGTGGAGGAGATTTGCAAGCATGCAACCAGCCACTGAAGGAGAAAGGAACGCCTTGTAAAACAGAGGGCTGGAAGTGGGATGGAAAATAAACACGATGGTAGGGGATTCGATGCTGAATGGGAATTTAAATATCATTAATTTTCATGTTACAGCCACATCATAGGTTGCCTGAAATACCCCCTGATAATCAATTAATTCACTCTCTCTCTCGACGGCAATCCAGTTTTGCATCACTTGTCAAGCTGTGTAATCAGCATACGAGAGCCGTGTTCCATTTGACTGAGATTAGCTGTGTTCGGCTGTGGGTGCATTATGATTCCAACCCCTGCTCCCCGCAATGCCTCTGTAACACAAAGCCTCATGATTCTTTTTTTTCCTCCAACCTGCATGGTCTCCAGAGGCGGCACATCTGGTTCAGTCTCTAAAGGAACATGAACCGTGTGGTTTGGGGAGAGTCACCCAGCAGGCTTGCAAGCACCAGAAACAGCTGTGCAGTCCAAGAGCGCTTAAGATGCCTTTGGAACCGGTGTTCATTTTAAGTGCTAGGAAAAGAAATTAAATCAAAGGTACTGGTACTCCTCACCCTTGTGCTAAATTTAGATTTTCATAAATTAGTCAAACACAGCTCCAAGAACTGCTTTATCTTGAGGTTAATATCGGCTGAGAAATTAATGTTTAATTAATTTTCCTCAAGTTAAGAGGTGGCAGATATGCTTCCTTTATTTTTGTTTAATTGGAATCTAATTATGAAGAGGTCATTCATTCATCTATTTACTAGGCAAATATTTGTTTATTCTGAAGTCATTTTTTTAAACTAAAGTAAAGACCCATTAGCTAGTTCTATGTTGTGATTATTTTCTCGGTTCTAATCATTTGCCTAGCTCCACGGTGACGACACCCTTTTCTTAAGTGAACATTGAAGGAAATGCACATAGAAACATTTGCCACCTCTAACCACGCTTTGCTCATCGAAAATGCCAGACGTCTGCATTTGGAATTCTGTGTGATTTTCACATAGCAACCTGCCCTGAAGATCAGCTGAAGCAATCCTCACGCTCGAAAAACGTTCTCTAACATTAGGCTTGCTTGGTAATTGGTTATTTAACACTCGTCCTACTACACTTCCAGGGTTTTGTTTCTCCGGATCAACGATTCACAAAATTTCCTGCACACTGAAATCACCTGGACAACTTTAACTGTGCCCCCAAAGATTGACGTCATTGGTTGTCCCTTTAGCCCACTGCTTTAGTCCACCTGGGACGACAGAGCAACTGTTTCAAACCAGGTAGCATCAGGACCAGAAGTATCCCTCCAAGCTCTGGAGGGTAGGAAGTCCATCAGACTAGAAGCCAGCAGCTTGGCCTCTGGTGATGATGGTTTAGGAGACGTAACCTCGAGCTATGCCTTCATGAAGGACCATGGGAACTCCCTCGGGTCTTTTTTCAGGAGAGTAAGGCCTTGATCGCTTAAGCGATCCCAGTCCCCATGGGATTAGATTCCAGCACATGAATTTCAGTTTTGTTTTGAAACAGGGTTTCATTATTCAGCCAAGTCTGTCCTTTAATCCATGATCTTCCTGCCTCCGACCCCCGAGTGCTAAAATTGTAGGTATCCACAACTAACCCACCGAACGAAGCATCGGCATTCAAACCAGAGTGCCCAGGTTCTTTTTAAGCACCCCGTGTGTTTTAGAGTAGTTTAGAAGTAAGATTTGCCCTTCTAAATTATGTACACTCTGGTTTCTCTTTGCTATCAGCCCCTCAGTCTTCCCTGGGGAAACCGGTGAAGCTCCGGGACTCCTCATGGGGTTGAGTTCATTTGAGAACTAGCCCGTTTTCCTCTCTCTTCTTCTGTCCAGCCACCAGCTTTCCATACTGTGGTCTTTATCCCACGCCATTCTTAAGTCTAACTCCAGTTCCTAGGCAAACTGAAGGGTTAACAACCCAAAAACCTTGGGAGGGGGGAAAAAAAAAAAACCTCCAGGCAGGGAAGTTGCCTCACCAGATAGGATGAGGACCTGCCAGGCCCCTGAGGAGACCCAGGTGCCCAGCCCCCCATAGTATTTGCAGCTCTGAGACTGCGGCAGGCTTGGGCTCCTCTTTCGCTTATTTTCGCATCACCTTCTTCGGTCCCAATCTAGCACAAGCTGCTGCAGTTGCTGGGACAGTCTCTCCTCTTCCGCTAAATAATTTCTACTAGCTTTTCATTTCAAGAAAATTTCCCTACCCAGAACATTTTCTATCCTCCCTCACGTCCCTCATCGTCACAGCTCTTCCCCGTCATACCCAGCCGCTTACCCCTTTACTACATGGGAATCGAGGGGACGTTGAGGAAAAGAACTTTGTCCTGAGTAGTGTCTTTGTTACGGCTTCTCCAGTAAATGTGGCGATTTGCCTATGAAATGTCACCACAAGAGGCTCACCTATTAATGGCGGAGTCTCAAATGCCAGCAGTGTTCAAAGGCTGGGGTTTGAGGGACTGAATGGTTTATGAAGGCTTGGTCTTCATCAAGGAGCTAATCCATTGATGGATTCAAAGTCTGAACAAACATTTGGGAGATGGTGGAACTGCGGATGATATAACCTGACTGGGGCTGCAAGGGTTGCACCCTGCCTTGGGGCCTCCTGGCTGCCACAAGAGAAGCAGCTTTTTCTTCTGTCACACGCCCCTGCTTCATCGCAAGGCACAGCAATGGAGCAAGGCAGCCATGGACAGAAACGTCTGAAACTGTGAGCCTAAATAAGTGTTCTGTTCTTTGTTTCTCTCTTATACTTTTTGTTTGGTTGGCTTGGTTTGTGTTTTTGTTTTGTTTTGTTTTTTTAGGGTTGTGGAGTTTTTTTCGGGGCGGGGAGGGTGTTGTTATTGTTTTGTTCTTTAGATGGGGTTTCTCTGTGTAACCCTGGCTGTCCTAGAACTCACTGTGTAGACCAGGCTGACCTTGAACTCACAGAGATTCCACCTGCGCCTGCCTCTCCAGTACTGGGATCAAAGGTGTGCGTCACCACCACCACCCACCCGGCTCTCTCTTGTACTTTTCATAGCGATGAAAACCTGAATTACATGAAAGTCTCATACTTGGGCACCAAACCAGAGTGCATGGACTATTTGTTATCGAATTAATCAGAGTCTAATCGGGGAAAAAGACCAAAAACCACAGTAGGAATTTGAATAGAAAAAGTTAGATGAAAGCATCTTGGCCAGTAAAATGAGATTAACTACTAAATGAACTATAAAGCGCTCCTAGAAATGTCAGAAGCCAATATACCCCTAAGGGGAATGAGAAACTAACACACTACAGGAGAGTGCCAACTCTCAGCAAAGAATAATGCTGACTCCTAACTGAAGAGTGGGAAACCAGACCTGCTGAATGGCGGAGAACTGCACAGGGTACTGTGGGCCGAGGATGACCTGCAAGTAACGTATCTGGTGATGCCAAACTGTGCTGGTGTGCCCTGAGCTGAAGCCCTGTAGGAAACACGTCACTGGGGTAACAACAGATGGCAGCTCTTCTGCAAGGAGCTTCCTACTAAGGGCCTATGGAGAGAAACGGGGAAATCTGAAGTAGACTAACAGGCCTCTCACTCACGGAAGAAGGGGGACAAGAAGAGCAGTGAGGGAAAGCTCCTGCTTGCAGGGTCTCCCTAAGCCTTTCCCCTCCTGGTGACAAAATCTAAGGGTGAGTTAGCTCCCCAAGGTGGCAGGCTAATCTGCTCTAACCCCAGAATCAAGAAGCAAGGGGTAAAAGCACGGGTATTAGAACAGAGAGGCAAACAACCGAAGGTTAGCACTGATTTAGGTGACGCTGAGACAGATGGCAGGTGGATGGATGAGAGATCTCCAGGAAGAATGAAGAAAACACTAATAGCTTCACACATCTATCCCAACAGCCTATTCCAAAGTAAGGTGAAGGGCAGATCTTGCCTCCTTCTGCCTCATTTCCTTTGCATCTTTTTCTGTTCATATTAAGAATGGAAGCCACCTTGATGACTGCAATTTCACTTCTCCTTATTAGAGCTGCACCTCTCTAACCATGGATCTAAAAAGCTATTTAACTTGAATGAAGGAAAAATCTAAGATTAGGAACTAGATAGTTGTGCTTAACTGAGAGATGGACACTAAATCCCTTCAATTCCTTTTTTTTTTTTTTCAGGAAATTTGGGCAGCAACATTACAAGCAGTAAAAAGTCATAAACCGGAAAAATTAATTAATCAAGATATTATTGGTCATACTTCCACATAATTAAGAATATCTAAGTGCCAAATGAAAGCTTTGATGCAAAAATTAGGGCACAGAATTACAGGATTCTTTTGATTCCTAATCAGTGCCTATAACTTCTCCAGAACACCGACTGCAGCAAGGAATTATTAGTCTTCTGCTATATTTAAACTTCTGCTTTATTTAATAAGCAAATATTGGAAATAAAACACCCACAACAAGAAGATGATCGTTAGCCAGTGTCAAGGACTGAATTGGTAGCCATCCATCCAACCTCGCTCTTCACACAACCATGGAACTGACGCACAATCAAGTCCATTTCTGAGAGCCATTACATTTTCTTTAAAATACCCATGCATTTCTGGAGGTATAATATATGGCACACCATTTTGGAAATTTTTTCCAAATGCAATTAAGCAATATCCATAAATAAGAAAGTAATCTTACACAGAGAGAAAAAGGCTTTATGATAAACGCATCAGCCATGTCGTATTGATAACTCACTCTCATCCCATTCATGCAACTAAATTAAATCACCAATAGCAGGAGAACTGCGTTGTCATCTCATGCTAGACATTAACGTTGCATTTAAATTGACAAGTGAAATCTCAGAATGGCAACTGTGGTGACACACACCTATCATCCCAGGCCTTGAGAAGCTAAGACAGGAGGGACATATGTGGTGTTCGGACACAGTCTGTGCTACTTAACAAGGCCCTGTCTGAAAGGAAAAAGCAGATATAAGACTATGTCACTTATTTAATCAGGAGAGACATAGCACAATCTTTAAGAGCATAGGAGAGCCCAGTAGACCTTTTATTTTTGTCAGTTCATAGAAATATGGATACCAGAGGGGTGTGTGTGTGTGTGTGTGTATAAATGTGTGTGTATAACAAAGAAAAAAGAGGCCAGAGACCAGGAATTTGAGAGAGAGCAAGGGGGAAGGCACATAGAAGCAATTGGAGGAAAAAAAAGGGAAAGAGGAAAATGATTTGATTATATTTTAATTTCAAAGAATACAAAATAAAAAGGAGCAAATTTTAAGTTGACAAATAGTCTCCCTGAGAGGTGTTCTATCACATGTACTTGCCTGTTAGCAATGCACTTCCCAAAGCCTTTTCATTTTGTCTACTAATTATATGTAAGTATTATATGGAGTAGATACTTAATTAACATAGAGAAGGAATACATAATTACAACGGAACAATGTATATTGGGGAAACAGCACTTACACTTTGCTTTAAAGCTTTTAGTGCTCGGTTCTAAAAATAATAACGATACTCTGATAAACTGGATAAAGACGGAAAGAGTTGATGTCTTAACTCTTAAATGTCTTGAGAGTACAAGATCATATATAGTGCATCAAACTGTATATAATTCATCCAACCAACATATTAAGTTATATATGCAAATTGAGAGGCTGTGGGGAGGGGACAAGAATAAATCAGAAGTAGAGTCTATCTTTAAATGACTCATTCTCTCATATACACACATCAATATAAAACTAGCTAGCAAGAGCCTCCCCCGGGAGGCGATGACCTACAGATGCTCACTGTGGTCTGGGAAGAGGAGAGAAAAGTAGTGCGCTGAGTCTCTGGAGGGAACCCTAGAAAATCTCTTACCAGAAATTCAAAGAAAATCGTAGCAAAGCTGGAAAGACACTATGACAGTATTCTCGCCTCTGTCTTCCGCTTGTGGTCATCCCTGGCGATGCTTGAATTCCAGAATAGTTTCTGCTGCTCATCTTCATTCATGGGAGTTAACTTCTCAGTTTGATGCTTACATAAGACAAAACCTTTAGGGAAAAATCAATCAAACAGAAGTCAACAGAGCTTTGGAATGAGGCATTGGGCAGCACTCAAAGCCATAATAGGTTCAGAGAGCCCCCACTCCAACAGCCGGACCAGGGGGCTGTGTAGGCTGAACTCATAGGGGAAGAGATTTCTTACCAGTTAAAGCGAGTATTTACCTTACCTAGATATGCCCTCTATGGCCAGATTTTTCCCAGCAGCAGGGCTCTGGCTGATAAGCAATGGGCTGCTTGGCTCTACACAAGTTGATGCTTGATTCCAAATGAGTCAGATATAAGCAATGCTCCTATGTTGGGTTTCTTACAAGGATTTTGGGTATAGACACAACCCTAGACTAATGACTCCCTGCTTGATTTGCTTTAAATCCAGGAATATACATATATTTTTAAATAAGATTTTAAATATTTCCCTGAGCTCGGCCTCCTTATGCCTGTACTCTAGTAAAAGGAGCAGCCAAGGGGCTAAGGCAATGACTCAGTGGGTAAAGTGTACAAAGTGTAAGGACCTGGTTCTTACATAGGATCCCCAAAACCTAGGGGAGAAAGCCAGGCACCAGCCATATAGTGCACATCTCTAACCCCAGCACTGAAAGGAGGAGACAGGAGCCCAGGGGCTTATCGGCCAGCAAGTCTTGCTGAAACAGTGAGTCCTGTCTTCCCTGAGACAGCCTGCCCCCAAAATAAGGTGGAGCCCAATAGAAGAAAACACTTAACTTCACCTTAGCATCTTCCATGGCATTCCTCTCTAAATCTTTTCCCCATTTCCTTATCAGGAAGCTTGTTTTCCTGTTACTGAAGCTTAAGTATTCTTCACACAGTCCGAATGCAAGCTCCGCCTCCCCCTCCCTAGGTAAATACCTTGCAATTGCTTTTTCCTCTTCCTATGGCTATGGCTTCATTCTCCTAACTTGCATACAAATACTCATTGCTGCTTTATGCGTTATTCCCCAGACTGGAAATAGTACAAATATCCATAACGGGGCAATACATAAGCAAAATGTGGTACATGCGCACAATGGAATACTGCTCAGTATATAGAAGAATGAACCAATGATGACTCATCTCAACATAACTGAAACAAGTACATGAATCCAGATGAAATAACACAGAGCAAACTATTTTAGTTGAATTAAACCCTCAAAAATTCAAGCCAAGTTTATACAGACAGAAAGCAGATGTGTGTTTGTTTGGAGAGACCAGGAATGGAGACGATAATGAAGGGACGGGCAAGAAGGATTACAAAGGGCATAGGGGAAGATGCTGAGGTGAGGGATATGATACTTCTCAGGCCTGTGGTGAAGCTTTACAGCAGTCAACGCCTACCGCATTGTGCATTTGTGTGTGTGCCTGCTACAGACAAAGGCAACTCCTACTCTTCTGACTTCAAAGGACAGCATAAATATCCAGAAATGAACTCAACCTGGACTACAGGAGGATTTCCTGTGGTTAGATAAAAGCCAGCATTCCCCAGGAACTTGTGAAACCAGTTCCCATCTAGCAAAAGGAGTCCTTTCCCTTATTTCTGGCAGAAAGGACATATGGTCATCTGTGGTGCCTATTAACATATCAAAGCACATGCTGGCCTCTGGGCCCCTCAAGAAGCACAGGTACCTGCTCCAGGGTTCAGAGTCCATGTTGGGAGGTCTGGCTTTTCACCTGGTCTTCTACCTTAAACCACCTCTGGCTTATAAGCGTCCCTCCCCCAGCTACTCATTCTCCTGATAAGCCTGCTCTGTTCTTACATTCTTTCCTTCTCTCCCTCTCTCTCTCTCCTTCTCCCTCTCTCCCTCTGCCCCTTTCCCTCTCTCTCCTTCTCTCCTCTTCCTCCTCTGTGTGTGTGCACACATACACACGTGTGTGCTGTGCTCCTGCTTCCCTCCCTGTGTTCTCTATTCTCCATCCTCTGCTATCCCCCCCCTCAGATAGCCCTGGCCATCCGTCCATGTCCAGTCTGATGGCTATGTTCAGTCCACTTCTTTATCAGTCTGCTTTCTCCCTGCACTGAATTCTTCCAGATGCTTCTGGCTGTTCTCTGTCTCTGTCTCTGTCTCTCTCTGTCCCTCTCTGTCTCTCTCTCTCTTGTGTGTGTACACACGTGCACATGAGTGTACTATTCACTATCCTCTGCTCTTCCCCCCTCCCTCTCAGATAGCCTTGACCATGTCCAATCTATTTCCTTATCAGTCTGTGCTCTCTCTCTCTTCTCTGGACTCTTCCAGATGTCTCTGGCTGTTCTCACTGTGTCTCATAACTACAATAAAAACCTTCTCTTAGCCATACCGTAGACTATGATCATGCTGTCGGTTTATACAGAATCCAGTTGTGCCTCAATGACTTTCATAAGCATTTTAAGAAACACAATGACATAGACGATGTCTCTAGAGGTGCTGGAAGAGAACACCTAGTCAAGACTCATGGGTCAAGGGAGGCTTCCAGAAAGCAGCCACACCGGGCTTTGAAAAAGCAGGTAATAGAGGAGGGATGCTCATGGTAACTGCCACATGTCCTGAACTCCTGCAGACCTCATAATTGTGCACAGCCTTCTCGCCCCTGAGCCCCTGAGCTTGTTCTGTTTTCTAGGGTTCTGCATCTGACTACTTGGCATTCATGCATCACAGAGCCAGTTGTATTAACTATATTTCGTTCTGGTGCTTTTGAGGCCCTGCTGTGGAGTCTTAGGGACTTCTGGGAAAGACCACCCCATCCCAGAGACAGCTAGTTTCTAAAGAAGATAATCTGTCCAATAGCATGCCTTTCATATGAGGACCAGTTGACCCCGCGCTTACCATCTGCCTCTTTAACACATCAAGTCAGCATCTCTTCCACCCGAAAGATTCAGGTTTCAAACAACTAAGAAAGCTACTGTTCCTATACCCCAAGCCCACAAGAAACACTCAGTTCAGCACTTCTAAGCTACCACCTCTGTTCCCCCCCCCCAGTTGGAAAAGGCCAGCTCCCAATCCCACCCCGATGTACCATGCTCCTGTTCTACCTCTAGTCTCGTTGGGCCCTGCCTGCTGAGCCAGACCTCCAGTTTCCAAGAATCGTGGTGACACTGACCGTTGCTTTTGATGCTACTGGCCGCTTCCTCACGCTGCCGTTTACTGGCCTCTGAAAATTGAAAGTGACATGAGTCATCCTCAATACGGTACTCCGTGGGAGCTGCGTGCATTTTCTTGCCATTTCTAGAATATCGGTATTCCTGGTAACGAAAGGGCCCCGAGACTTTATAATGCTGTTTTAAATTCTGGTTTTCCCTTACTCTATCACAAAACTGGAGCTGCTTAGCCACAAACTGCAATTGTTTTCAAGATTTCAGCAGACAGTGTCCTTTCTGGTTGAATTTCCTAGATCAGCTGCAGGTAGGAAAACTGGCTGGGTAGGCGCCCTAGGAATATGGGAGGCGGGAAACACAGCAGGCCCGGAAGGGCAGCTAGATATCAGCCTTCTCAGCTGGACTCTTGGCTTCAGTCTGACCCCACCAAGTGCCTGGAACAAAAAGATTCCTCTCACTTTCATATCCGAAGCTCAGACCCTGTTTGTGGGCTCCAAGTGTGTGGAGTTGGGGAATGCCCATGGGAGGACCACAGCTTCCCCTGCAGGGCAGGAGGCGTGAGAAAGGCTGAGCTGGGAGCTCAACAACAGGTTGCAGCTGAGGGCCCTCTAGACTCCTAGCCTGTGGAGTTAACCTCAGGAACACAGTCCTTTCCCCCTCTCCCCTTCTAGGATTTTAATCTTACAGCTGCAGAACAGGGTGACAGGGATGCCTACAAGAATGAGATGACTGGGTAGGAGAAATGTGATTCTCTAAGGTGGAAAAATACGTGAGAACAATAAGAAAGTACACAGGGGAGGAGGGTGCCGGAAGAGGCGATAGGGAGACGCTGGCTCACCTGAAAGCACATTTAGCTTGGGCATGTGTTTTCACGCAAGTCCAGTTTCAGTAGATCTTCGCAATATTTAAGTCAGCAATCTTCATTTTAATGTGACAGTTACAAATCTCTGACTGGAGTGCCCACTAAAAGTAATAACTTTATAAATAGTGTTTGAAAATTAACCTATGAAGAAAAGATGGGGCAATCTGTACTTTTGGAACGCAATGGACATGTAGACATTCTCCACAAAAGTTTCTCATGGTATTGGAGTCCAAAATTTGTAAGTAGGCAGTGCCCCGCCATCTTGTTATTCTACTACCTTGCATAACGAAAAACCAAGTGGAGTGTGACTTATGAAATAGAGCCAAGATTATAGAGAGGACTCAAAGTATCTTAGGAACAACCTTCTCACCCTATGGAAATTCATAGCGCCTGCGGCTTTTTTATTACTACGAAGAGACATTATGACCGTGGCAACTCTTATCAATAAAAATATTTAATTGCTTGCTTGCTTGCTTACAGTTTCAGAGGTTCATTCCATTATCATCAGGATGGGGAACATGGCGGCACACAGGCTGATGCGGTGCTGGAGCTGAGAGTCCTACATCTTGACTCAGAGGCAACAGGAAGTAGACTGAGTGACACACTGAGAAAAGCTTGAGCAAAAGAGACCTCAAAGCTCACCCTCACCATGACATACTCCCCCCAACAAGGCCACACCTCCAAGTAGTGCCACACCCTTTGGGAGCCATTTTCTTTCAGACCACCACAGTGCCACATAATTTAAATTTTCCAGGAGGCATATGACCTCTTTGATAATCTGATTTAAGTCATAGACCTTGTTTTCCCATCCATGTGGAAGTATGTTCATCAGATTTACACATAGCGCCCCAGGGTCTCTAAAACCCTAAGCACTCCGAGTTGACCCCAGATCCTGAGCTGCAGACCCAGAAGTAGGGATAACTAAGTAAAAACAGATGAAGAAAAAAATGATGGGTCACGATGAGGAAAACGGGGTCTTCCTCTTCATGGAGAAAGATGTGAACAGCCAGTTCCAAAAGCTGCCAGCAGGCTAAGGGTGTTGGAGATTGTGGAAGATGCTCTCAGATGAGGGTCACCTTGGGAAGATGACTCCAAGGAGGACTGGACCTTCCAACTCATGTTCAAAGGAAGAACAGTCTAGGTTACTATTTTAGTATAGTATTGTGGGAGACAAAGCTTCTCCATGAATTAACTGTTGATATTTATATCCAAAACTTAATTGTGTAAAGTCAAGTAAACTTTCTGTTAGTTGGAATACTAACGGGAGATAGAAGACCAGGCTAGCCCCAGCCAGGATTGTGATGAGAAATGCCAATGATGTGGGCCGAACACCGTGCTACACTGTTGTCACGATGGTACAGAGTCAGCGGAGACCCACTGGGCCCAGCTGTAAAGTCTAGAGCCCCAGCATGCCTGGGTGTGAGCACAGAAGCACACCCTTCTACAGACTACCACTCCCTGGCCATGTGGCAGGGTGCTTCTTGATTTTTCTGTGCCTCAACATTCTACTCTGTAAAATGGAATAGTAGTGATCATAGAACAGAATGATGAAGGCTGAATACAAAGCAGGCCCGGAGCCCTGGGGCTAAGGAAATGAGCATCTTCCCAATCCTTGCAGAGGAATGTGCCAAAGCTGTGTCAGTCTGCCAAAGCAATAATGTAGCCTGTCTATTCGACAGTCTGCTGCTGCGAAGGCCCAGGGGTGGGGTCCCATTGGTTCAGGTTATTTCACACCAACTCCTTCCTCTCAAAATGTGTGAAGTAAAGCCCTGGGTTCTTTATTTTTAGCAAAACAAAGACTCTTTAGCACTCTCTGGTGTGTCCTCCTTGAGACCCAAACATATAGATTTCCCCGGGCTCTTTAATTGAGGAAGCAATTTTAAACTCTGTCAACATCGGCCTTATTAACCCAGATGGTGTTAATTTACACAGCTCTACTTAGCTTCAGTGTGTTTCCTGTGCATCAACAGGATCCGCCTTTGCATCCCAAGCCTCGCTGTCCCCGACTCCTAAGGCACACACTCTACTAAGAACAACCTGCACAGTATGGAGATGAATTGAAATCCCTCAGGAGCTAGGAGAGCGAGCTTTAAAGAAACCCGTATCCCGCACATCTGTACACATCTGTATGTATCCAGAGGGCCAGAGGCATTAAGGAACAATGCAACTCCCACTGTGTTTCAATATTGCTGTGCTTCCCGATTGCTTCCCCGGTAAATACCACTCCCGACAGTCACCTGTAATTGATTGCGCCGCCTTGGCCAGCAGTTTCTATTGTTTTCATTTGTAATGGAACCGAGAACTCAATTCTCAGCAACATCGGAGAGTCTCTTAGAGGCTATTTCATAAAATTAAAGTTTTTCTCCTATTAAAGAAAAAAAAATGCTTTCTCTCCCTAAGTACAAACGTCTGAAGTAAGCCTGGCTTGGTAACTAACTGGGAGGCATTAGTCTGCACACATGCTTACGGCTTCATGAGGGGTTGAAGATACACTAACATTTCTAAGCATGGATTAGCTACAAGTCTGTGTTCAAGGGGCTTAAAATCTGCGGTCTTGTCTGGTTTTACTGTCCCAGCCGACCCGGGACAGTGGCGTTGCCATTGAATGTTGCAACACAATGAAAACAAAGTTTGGGGCAGGTATCAACCTTGCTCTGCTTCTGACTGGCTAGGGGACCACATTGTCATCTCCCTCCTGCCTGATATGGGAAAATCCGATGTCCATCGCAGTAGGATCCCTTTCACTGAGAGTGCAGGAGTGTCTGGGCTATCACCAAGCACACAAAGACAGTTCCCCTGGGATCCCTCCTCTCTCTAAACCTTCAGGAGCACATGGGGTTGTGGCTGGGGGACTTCTGTGTGTGAGGTACACACACTTGAATTCTTTCTCCTCCTTACTCTCAAATACATATCCTCTGAATTCTCACCCTTCCCTCCCACGCTCTGGCCTCCCTTTTCCATTCTTCTGCCCTCTCTCCCTCTCATTTTCCCTGGCAAAGGTTAAGTCCTTTCCAGAATGAATGTCTTTTCCCCATCTTGGCGACACAAAAGAGTAAGGGATCTTTTGGTACCATGACAGCCATGAGGAGCCCCTGGTCTTGTGAAACGCTGGGCCACTATTACAAATGGGTTTCTTGTTAAAACTCTTAATATGATTTTTTGTTCCTTGGAGAGACTTGCTAATCTACCTAACGTGAATTCGGTCGGTCTGAGATGAAGGTTGGGGGTCTACAGACTCCCACCCAGCCCGTTTTAAAATCGGGAAATCAGATCGGCACGGATACCCTAAGAAGAGTTCATAATTACTTGTGTGACTTCTTTTGGTTCTGCTCAATTACTGCAATCACCTTGTTTCTCTAAGTATCGACACACAATTTTCCATGCCTGTTTTCCTTCTTGGTCTTTGTCTGCTTATTGGCTGGAAAATCAATGTATGCATTCCATTCTTCCACCTAATGGACCAGAGGGAAGGAGGGCTTCTGTGGCACAAGTCCCTTACCCACCGGAAGGTATGGTCGCTCCGTGTCACCATGGCTCTGTTTCCCGCTCTGTGACTCACGTCAAAGCGACAGTGGCCTCGGCATCCCCGTGTGCTCTCTCTGGTTAGGCTCCATGCTGAGCCATTTTCCCAACCCCAAAAGTCAGAAGCTGCCCTCCCTCCGTCGATGAGGAGACCGCGTAGCACGGCCAGACACAAATAGGAACCGAAAAGGAATGCAATCACTTCGTAAGCAGAGACGTGTGGGCTGGAGTAGAACTACTGCGGGCTTCCCTCTGAATGAGGCTGTCCTCGGCACTCACCATCCCGGTACCCAAGGAGAAGCTTCACCTAGAGAAGACTCAGTTTTTCATCTCTCAAAGACGATCAATAATTCCTATTACATCCAGGTTGCTATCGAAGCCACTGTGGGGAAAAGACCACAGAGAATCGGGGCTGTAGAAAAACCTCCACGGATGCTCACGACCCCACCACCACCACCACCCCTCGCTTATGACTGCAAGGGGCATATTTAGAATACAGTAGTGTGGCAGGCACTTTGGCCCCATTATCATCCACCTCAGCCAGCTGGCCTTTCAGGGAGGTGTTGTTTTCTGTCTGCCAAACAATTTTGAAAATATATATTTATTATGCAGATGCCCTTTAGAAGCATTATAACTTCACAGAGACCTATGGCTTCCAGGTCCCGGCTCTCAGACCATTGGCCTGAGTGATCGATAAGAGCTGATAAGAGCGCATTTTGTCACCTTGGCTGTGCTGCCTGTCACGAAGCCTTTGGGCTACAAACCTTCCTGCAGCATTTTTAAAAGAAAAAAAATCATTACAGGTTTCAACGGTAGATTTTTAAACATCTGTTGTCTTTTGGAATAATAATAAAAGCCAGGTCCAATGACCCATCCCTTCTACAGAGGGGCCAGGGGCTTGGTGCAGAGATGCCGCAGCCCACATAGACCACTCATGTGCACGTGTGATCCTCGGGCAGAATTCGTACGTCCCAGGCAAGCTCACACCTTGGAAATAATGGCTTAAAATAGGAATGCTGACGCCGCCTTAACTCAGACAGCACAAATGCAGGGCTGTAATTTTCTATGCTACTTAATCTCCTGGTACAAAAACCTCTGTGGCTCGGGGGAATTCTTCATCTAGTCCACGGTAAAAAAA